TTGTTCTTAATCTCAATGTCTCTGGTTATATTTTGTTTGATTTTTTCTTTTGTTGATTATGTTCCAGTTGAAGGTGAGATCATATGTTATAAGCCAAGCAGTGAGGGGCAATACTATCATTTTAAGAATTCTATCTAAACATTCAAACACAAACATGACTTACACCAAGAGAATAAAAAGACCTGTTTCATAATAACCTTAGTTAGAGCCTCTTTTCTTATGTGCTGCTTGCTTGTTTAAGCAGAGGGAAAGAAGAGTTGGCAAAGCCTTCTGAGTTATGGCGTCTGGAATCAGATAGCAAAGAGTAAAAGTCCAGCAGAGGTAGGAAAGTGAAAAGGGTGACAGAAGAGATTTTACAGCTATGGGTGGTAAACAGTGCAATATACAAATAACATTATAGATTGTAAAATTGAAACCTATATAATTTTATTAACCATTGTCCCCTATGAATTTAGTAAAATTTTTAAAAATAAAATTTGAATCACACACACACAAAAAATGCCCAGCTGTGTTATGTAAAAGTCTGAGACTCTCCACCAATTAATCACCTGTTTATATATAAGATTTCTCATTTATGTAATCATTGTACCAAAGAGGCACATAGTTGTATCAGAATCATAGAGTTATTCTGAATATCAAATGACACAATATAAATAAATATTCAATATGCTACCTACCAAATAACAAGGTCTATCAACATCATTAATTTTGATTATGGTGAATATTTACTTACTCAGTAGTGTTTATTGAGTAACTACATATTCTGTAGTGATGAACAAAACAAACACCCTGTCTACTGGGCAACTGTAATCAGTGACAAACAATAAAAGGAACATGGTTATTAACATATGATTACATGCTACAATAAAGAATTAAATAATAAATAGAAGGTAGTTACCCAAAGAAAGTAAAATGAGAGTATAATGTGTCCTAGAAAATTTTTAAGTAAAATTTTTGTCTGGGGGATCAATGAATGCTTCTTTGGAAAAGGTACAAAGTTTTTATTCAAGACATTCAATGGTGAATAGAAATACTCAGGGAAGGGTAGATTAAGGAAGGAGAGTCACTGCACAAGAGATATAACAGGCTCATGAGGCCCAACAGCAGAGAAAAATGATGGAGAAGGCCATGGAGTCTGGAAGGCAGAGGGTGATAGGAAGTTGGAGATTGAAAGGTCCAGATAGCAGACAAGGGACAAATCATTCAGACCCTAGAGGGTCAAAGTATGGATTGAGGTCAGAGGATGGTGGAAATGTTTTGGGGATCAGGAAATGGAAAGGCAGGGACATGACAAAACAGTTCAGATTTTTATTTTATAATTTTCATTGACTCTAGTATGGAGAATGAATTACAGGTGGGAAAATTAATGAGGAAAAATGATCCAGATGGCAATTGCAGAAGTTGAGTTGAAAGAGGACAGTATCTTAGAATTGGTGTAGACAATGGAGATGGAAAGATGTGGGAGAGATGTGGGAGACATACAGAAGGAGCATTTTTCATGTGAAAGGGACAGGGCTAGATAGAATAATGAAAATGATGGGAAAGAGAATTTGGGCAAATATGACCTTGTATTTCTAGTTTGTACAAACTAGTGCATGGAGGGCTATTCTCTGAGACAGAGAAGGACATTGAGCAAGAAAAAAGGGAGACCATGAGCTCAGTTTTCTACATGTTGTATATATAATGTCTTTGTGATATCCACCAGAGAGATCAGCCAGAGAGGTGGATGTGGGAGACCTCAGGTCAGGGGGAATCTAGGTTTTGAGTTGCTAGTCTAGAAATACAGTTTATGGATGGTAACTAAAACCATGAATCAGATGACTGTGCTCTGTGAGAATTTAGAAAACTAAAAAAGCAAGCAGTTAAACATGACATTTTTTCTCCTACTCATGTCTCTACACACTGCATGGATATATATATTTCTCTTCGGTTTCTTAGTTTACTACATTTTGAATTTTGGACAAAACTAACCACATCAAAATGTATAGTGTTCTGAAATTATACACTTTCCAACAACTAAATTAAAACAATAGAGAAAAAATATTAATAGCATAGGTCAGGAGTTTATCACTGTAAAAGTTAGAAATCTTAATGGCATAATGGTTAAGGTATTAGAATACTGAGATTTGTTTATGTATGTTTAGCGCAATGTAATTTATATTTAGCATGGTGTAATATGATAAAGGCTGTGTTTGGGCAGTAAATTAGCTTACCACTGTCTTCCTGCTACCTTTATGTTTCAACTCCATGATAATTTGACATTTCTAGAATTCTGAGAATATGGGCAGCTTTCCCCTGAGCATCTTCCAGCTGCTGACTGAACAGCGAGGTAAACTGAGTTGTATATACTTGTTTAAAACAATGTTCCTAACTAGTAAGAGACCAGATGAATAAAGAGATCAGAAAATGAAGAAAGAGAACAGAAAAGATGGGAACCCTTGCTTTATATATGAACATAAATTGTAGCATAGAAGTCAGAATTGATAAAACAAATTGCTAAATATGAAATGTGACATCACAGAATGATAAAATAATAATGACCCAAGTAATCCAAATTACAATACAAAGTTTATGCAGTTTATGTACTCATTGATCATTATAAACATTATGTGGATTTGATTTCCTACATGATTGATGATATAAACAAAAGTAAATTGACACTACAAATTATTTTGTATATTATTATCCATTCAATATCTAATTTTGGAAATGTCTCTTTTGTGAAATAAACCTTATTTTTACCACATATTAATACAATATATATTGATAATAACTAATTACTAAGTTCAGTAGTATAGATTTAGTCAATCATTATCACAGAACCAATGTTCTATGAAGGTTTGGGAGCATATAATATCCCTGAGAATACTATCAGTGCTTATTTGTCCAGCAATAAATTTAAATTAATCTAAAGGATTTAAGTATTAATAAGAATTTAAAAATAAAATTAGATGTGATTTTAATATTTTATATATGCAAAATCTCATAGGAGACCCTTATTCCTATAGTATATATGATTTAAGGTAACACAAGGATTATTTTCAGAATACTTTTCACTTACAACTCTTTGTGAATAAAAATACTCATGTACATTTAAAAAATGAGGGACAGGAAATTAAATCTGATGGGTGTTTTCTCTAACTAAGCAGTTAAGGTTATTGGCTTTATTTTTTATATACCTTATGTTAATATTCCATTAATATTTTCAAGTTCTCCAACTGACCAAGAAAGTCTTCAAAAATTACTGATGCCAAACATGCCTCATTTACATGAAAATGTATTTCTTATAAAGTAATTTTTTAAAAAACTGATCAAGCATTAATATTCTTAGGTCAAGTATTTTAGGTTGATTTGCATATTTTACAAAACAAAATTTAATCTACTTTTTTTCCCTGAACTGGTCACAACATCAATATTAATAACAGTGATTCACTAATATTCTTTTAAACATATAAGGTAAATTGCTAAATGTTTATAAATAATTTCCCAAAACTAAGTAAATAAATAAATAAAGTTTTATACTTCCTCAACTAAAGGGGGTAAAACCCGACATATTTTATTTTAAAAAAATAGGTCTAAAATCATAGGTAACTAGTGAATACATAAATCAAAAACTTCATAGTACCTTTGGTTCCTAAAATTATAACATTTTGAAAAAATATCTTAATTGAGTCATAGATACATTTACATTTGATCTCCTATATATAGAAAAAATTTTGACATACTTGAAAATTGCAAATTAAAATACTTTCTCTTTAGTGTAAAATGATATTATATTACATTAAATGTCTTTAAATATGTGATTATCTTCAAGGCTGTTAAGATTCAAATTTTAATTCACTTAGTCCATGTAACTGAACCAACTTAAAGGTTCTTTAGTATTTCTAATCTCACATATGTCAACATAATTAAAGTATACCTATATATGGTATTTTTATGGATTGTTTTTGTGAGTTAACTTTTCAAGAAGCTGATTCAATCAACAAAGTTTAAAAAGTTGGTTGATTCTAATTTGTTATTAAGAGGTAATTAAGTTTTATTAACATATTCATTGTCATTTCCTGTTTTTCCTGTATTTCCTTCAGTAATGTGTCTGATATCATATGAAACAAAAGCAGATCTTTTCAAATCCTCACTGCATGCCAAAACTAGTAACAATCCAGTACATAGTAATGAGTCATTCTCCAAAAATGTAAAGCTCAGAAGGAGTTTCAAATACATGAAGGTTTTCTATAACTCTTAAAAGTAGAACTCTACTCAAAGAGGTGTAACATTAGAAATAAACAAGCAATAATATTGACCTGCTTACTAAGTATACACTATCTTATACTGATCCAATGAATCAGGAAATCAGGAAAGCTGAGTGTCAGGGGGCTCAGCAACAGTTTAATTCTAAGAGTTTTTACAAGGCAAAAGCAGAGTAGGATAAAAAGGGAAGTCGGGAAGTCGGGATAGAGAAAATGACATTGTATTTCATGGAGAAAATAAAAGAAGATAATGCTGCTGTCCAATAGCCTCCTTTTGTCCACCTCATTCCTCCTGGAATGTAGATTCAAGCCAGAGGGATCCCAGACATATGCTAAGTCAGTTTCTAGGCCAGTATGTGAGATGCATTTCAGTGGTGTTTACAGCAAGTTTCACCTCACATCAGATAACTATAAGACTGATACAATTTAATGATAAGCAATGTCAGAATACTACTTTTCTCAGAAATATGAGAACACTCCACCTAGAGAGTTACCAGAATGAATATATGTTCAATTTGTGATTACAAGTCTAAAATCTTGCAAAAAGAAAAACAATATGTTTGAGTAAAAAAAAAATAATGAACAAACTTTTAACGAGATTGAAGCTTGGTTTATAAAAACCAGGCTGGCATCTCTTAACCAAAATTGTCAATCTGAAACCTTTCAGATTTACTAACTACCAGAGCATACGGGGGTCGGGGAAATGAGTAAAAAGTGGGAGATGCTTGGATGCTCCGTGGGGACTTACTGTACCTGTGTCCGCATCCTTCACCTGTTGCCTGGCTCGAGCTGGTCGGCTCCACTTTGAGCTCTTCCAGGACCAGCCCTTTTTCGTGTGGTCCAGGAAAGTCCAGGCCAGGCACTTCCTCCTCCTCTAGGGACTCAACGTAGAAGAGAGTCCTGGTCGGCTGTTGGGTGCCCTGCCCGGGCGCCCCTTGCTGCAGCCTGGTGGCCACTGGCAGCAGGGTGCCATTCAGTGGGTTGAAGGAAGAGGACAAAGAGGATGGCGAAGAAGATGAAGAGGAGGAAGAAGAGGAAGGCTTCTTCCAGAATGTGCTCACGCTGCCTTTCTCTTGGTTTTTGAGCAGTCGGCTCTGGCTAGGTCCCCAGTGCTCGAAACTGCTGTTGCCGTCCTGTTGCAAGCAGCCGCCCCCCGCCGGGCTGCCTGGGGACGGCGATGGGTGGCTGAAGAGTTTCCAGCGGAGTCGCAGGATGTGCTTCACATCGAAGTCTTTTCGCCCAGAGCCCGACATGCTTGGAGCCGGGAAGGCAAAGGGAGCTCAGCTGGGGTGGGAGTGGACGGGCCAGCTGGTGGGGGGGACCAGCGGAGCCTGGGGTTGGAGAAGGAGGCTGGATGCGCTCTCCGTATCCCAGGAGCAGACGGGGCGAGGCGGGATGCGCGCTCTGCCAGGTGACAACCGGAGCGCGGACGGCAGAGCTGCGCGGCTCAGCTGCGGACAGGTCGCAGGACTTGAGCGTGCGGAGCCCACCGGCTGGGTGCAGAGAAGAAGCGGGATACCAAGGGTTGATAATCCTGGATCCCCGTGCAGGTGTCCCGTGATTACGGAGGGAGGGACCACCCGGGTGCTGAAGATGCACAAGGGAGGATCTGCCCGCTCCGAAGCTCGGGAGGCTGCGGTAGATGGATACACCTCCCTGGGATGCGCCCGTGGCACAGCCTCAGTCGGGAAGGTGTGGGCTCTCCTCTCCTTGCAGCTGAGTTCAGTGCCTGAAGAGCGGAAAGAGAGAGGGAGAGAAAGAGCCCCAAGTCGCTAAGAAGCGCTCCCCCCGCCCCAGCCTTCTCCGTGCACCTGCGTCCCTGTCCCTGGCCTCTCGGAGAATGCCCTGAGAGCTTGTCGGGTATTTCTGAGAAAGTCAAACCCTTCTGCAGGGGTGGAGAAGGGTGGTTTTATATTGTCAGTTTGTAAAAGAGAAAAATAAATATTCCAGAAAATATAGGGAAGCAAAAGGAAAAGCTGTCAAGGTCCTCACAGTACAATTTTCTCTCTGCCTCAGCGCCTCCTCCTCCCCCATAAGTGACGCAGATGTGCACTGGGGCCTATACCGAGCGATGGAGGGAGGGAGGAAAGGCTTCAATCTTCTTTATGCAAGGGAAGCTGCTGCTCTTATTGTCCCTTTGCGTGGATCTTGTCACCTTTTTTATCCTTCTTCCTCACTACATTACTGTGTAGCAATAAAAGTAAAGCAAACAGACATTATGCTTTAGCATCAGTAAACACCAAATATGAATCATGACAGCGTAAACTTAATAAGCTGCCATCCGTTTTCAGGTTGCTGGTTAATGGTTTGAATTATTTAATAAACTGCATCCTTTAACCTTAACCTTAGTTTCTCTGTAGTGAGACGCAGAAGAAACGGGCATGCTGGCGTCAAAGGATGATGATGCCACCGTTCGGACACTTGCACTGTGATTCTGTCATTAATGCACTCAGGCAGTACTTCACCCTGAGGGACAGAGGCACACAGTAGACATTTGAAGATGGGCATCTGAGCGCAAGGAATGAGGATGGCAAAATCGGTGCATTTAGTGTGTAGCTATAGAATGAGAACTCTTCTCATTGTAAGCTGAGAAGCGGAATAAAATGATGAAAGAGAATTTCAAGGAATAATTTTCTAGTACATAAATCATGACATAAAATGCGTGGAAGAATTTAAGCAATAAATGAATACAGTAGCCTCCCTTCTCTGGGGAAAATACTTTCTAAGAGCCCCCACTTGATGCCTGAAACCAGAATCCTATGTATCCTATATCCACCTCCCTTACACACATACATACCTGTCACTTACAGAAAGCAGTCTGAGGTTTCTCTAAGGCATATGCAAACTGCCAGCTTTACAAATCCAGTGTTGTGGTTCATAATTAAGTACAATAAGGGTTACTTGAACACAAGTACTGCCCTATCTGGGACAGTTGATCTATTAACCAAGAGGACTTTTAAGTTACTTACTGGCAGCTAGCATGCAGAGAATGGACAAAAGGATAAGCTGGACGGAAGGGTAGATCACACCCTGGGTTAGATTGAGCGGGACACTGTCAGATTCCATTATGCTATCCAGAATGATGCATAATTTAAAACTTATGAATAGTTTATTTCTGGAATTTTCTATTTAATATTTTTGGCCCAGGATTGAGCGCAGGCAACTGAAACCGCAGACACAGAAACTGTGGTTCAGGGAGCACTACTGTACTTGTGTCCAGAGGCTCCTTTCCTGCAGAAAACTTCTGTTTGAAGGAGGGAGCATGTGTTCGCTCTTATATCTATATTTAGAAGCATGATTATGATGATCTTGTTCTAGTTATGACTGCTTGGAGATTTTTCATCTTTTTCCTTTAATGAGACTTTAAAACAGAGCCCAGTCCCCCTTGCTGAAGTCAACAGGGGGTCAGAGAATTAGCAGGTTCCCTGAGCCCAAGTCTAATGGTTGTCCATTAGACATCCCGAAATTCAGATTCAGCAAACCCAAAAGAGCACAGGATTCAGACATTCAAGTGCAGTTATATTACTGTTGTGGTACCACATTGTTGAATAGTAAACTTAAATAGAAACCAAAGCCAAATTTAAAGTCCTGCCTATACAAAGTTTAATATTTTAATAAAACAAGAAATTAGGCACACAAAATCCCTACTTCCCGGAGAAGAACAGTCACTATTGTGCATTTTAAATATTGATTTCTGCTGCGGCAGCTGGACTGCAATCCCCTGTGCCTCGATTTTTTTCTCTCAGTGTTCAATGTTAAAAAAAAAGGCAAAAAGCCCTTTAAAGCAAACAATAGTGGCAGGTCATTTTTATCCAAGAACTGAATCAGGTAGTGTTTCCTTTAGGGAAGGAACTAGTGTATGAAATTATATAACATGAACAGGACTGAGAAAAGTTTCCATCCAGAGCTTATGTAGAAATTTGAGATACAAAAAATTAAACGATTTCTATAGTAATTGGAGCTTCGTGGATCTTCTAACCTGATATAATTTGGATTTTAATGAAAATAATATAAAATAAATAATACAATATGCTATATCTACATTGTCATCATTAATATCAATCAGTAAACATTCAAAATGGTAATGCAAAATTTGTTTTTGTTGTTATCCTGAAATTTCATTTTTTCTCCTTTTACCTCGCATACTATTACTATTATACAGCTTAAAAAAAGACACCGTATGGGTTTAAAGGTCAGTAATTTATATGTCACAAAGGAGATGTATTATTGAGTTTAGTGAAGGAATATGAATTAAACATACTAAGGTATACTTAGTAGATGAAAACTAATATCTATTTGTTACTCTTATTGAATTATTTAGTTTGCTTAAAACACTTTCAACTTATTATTTAAAATTGTCTCTTTTCTATATTTATTAATATGCATACAATACTCTTGTTGGGAAAGACATTCAAATACTGTTTGTCTAAATTATCAAATTATATATTGTTAAGCAGCTCAAGTGTCCCTCAATAGATGAGTGGATAAACCAACTGTGGGCCATTTACACAATGGAATACTACTCAGCTATAAAAAAGAAGATTTTACCCTTTGCAACAGTGTGGATGGACCTGGAGAGTATTATGTTAAGTGATAAAAGGCAGACAGAGAAACACACATACTGTACAATTTCACTCGCATGTGGTATCCAATGAACAAACACTGTCAAGGAAAATGGGGGCAGATCATAGATGAAGATAGGCTGTTAAATTGTTTCTATATAATAATATTGAATAAAGCATTTGAATGGCTAATTATGATCCAGTTTAAAAGTTCATGCCTTATGATGTTTCTATATTGTTCACATTTCCATTTATCTTTGTTTTGCTTTAGTGACATATATTTTTTTAAATATATTTTATTGATTATGCTATTATAGTTGTCCCATTTCCCCCTTCACTCCCCTTCACCCTGCACATTCCCTCCCACCCACATTCCCCTTCTTTAGTTCATGTCCATGTGTCATAAGTTCCTTAGCTTCTACATTTCCCATACTATTCTTGCCCTCCCCCTATTTTCTACCTATGCTACTTATTCTCTATACCTTTTCCCCCTCTCTCCTCCTCCCACTCCCCTGTTGCTAACCCTCCATGTGATCTCCATTTCTGTGGTTCTGTTCCTGTTCTAGTTGTTTGCTTAGTTTGCTTATGTTTTAGGTGTGGTTGGTACTGTGAGTTTGATGTCTTTTTTTACTATTCGTATTTTTTATCTTCTTTTTCTTAAATAAGTCCCTTTAACATTTCATATAATAATGGCTTGGTGATGATGAACTCCTTTAACTTGGCCTTATCTGAGAAGTGCTTTATCTGCCCTTCTATTCTAAATGAAAGCTTAGCTGGATAGAGCAATCTTAAATGTAGGTCCTTGCCTTTCATGACTTGGAATACTTCTTCCCAGCCCCTCTTGCCTGAAAGGTCTCTTTTGAGAAATCAGCTAACATTCTGATGGGAACTCCTTTGTAGGTAACTGTCCCCTTATCTCTTGCTGCTTCTAGAATTCTCACCTTCATTTTTACCTTGGGTAATGTAATTATGATGTGCCTTGGTGTGTGTTTCCTTGGGTCCAACCTCTTTGGGACTCCCTGAGCTTCCTGGACTTCCTGAAAGTCTATTTCTTTTGCCAGATTGGGGAAGTTCTCCATTATTTGTTCAAATAACTTTTCCACTTGTTGTTTTTCCTCTTCCCCTTCTGGTACCCCTATAATTCAGATGTTGGAACGTTTAAAGATGTCCTGGAGGTTCCTAAGCCTCTCCTCATTTTTTTTGAATTCTTGTTTCTTCATTCTTTTCTGTTTAGTTGTTTCTTCCTTCCTTCTGGTCCCTTCCATTGATTTGAAACCCAGTTTTCTTTCTATCACTATTGGTTCCATGTGCATTTTTCTTCATTTCACTTATTGTAGCCTTGATTTGCTCATCTAATTTGCGACCAAAATCAACCAATTCTGTGAGCATCTTGATCACCAGTGCTTTGAACTGCACATCTGATAGGCTGGCTATTTCTTGGTCACTTAAAAGTACAGACCGAGGTGCTTTTGATTCTGTTTGAGCCATCTTTTTTTTTTTCTCCCTTTGGTCTGGTCATGCCTGTTACATATGAGGGGCGGAGCCTTAGGTGTTCACCAGGGCGGGGCACCCCAGTCGCTGGGTTGTGATGTTGTATGTGGGGCAGGGGTCTGAGAGGGAACAATGTCACCTGCTCCACTCTCTCTAGGACTTCAGTCCCCTCTGCCACTTCCCATAAGCAGATTGGGCCCTTCTGGTGCTGGCTCCTGGGAGGGTGGGCTTGAGTACATTCTAGGACTCTGTGTGTCTCCCCAAGCAACTCTCC